ATTCCATATCCCATTGTATCTGCACAAACGTTTAAAGAGGATGGGATACAATATGCTCCATCTGCTTTCAGAAGGACTAACATGTATTTACCTAAATGCCACCATAATATCTGTTGCCACCAGACAGGGAATCAGTCAGGCTTCAGAACTTGATAACCATGACTTCTTGGATTGTGGAACAACATTTTGGATATTTAGATGCACTGATGCCTAAAAATTGTATTGCCTTTTTTCTGCCCTTACTCTTTGAAAAACAAATACCTGGGCCTGTGAGTTTGTTCTTATGATATGATTCTTAAAATGCTTAGGATATATTGTCCAACTGGCAAGCACCCAAGAATCACTCTTTTTAAAGCTAGGAACTTCTCCAATTTATCTGTAATTTTGAATTACTATAAACAATGAAAAAGAAAACAAAATAAAAAATGGAGGGATGGGGGGAGAGAGAGAGAGAGACTAGTGGATAGGAGGAGCGGGGCAAGATAAAAATGGTATTTGATTTCAGACTATCAATACCTAGGATTGTTTAAATTCTCTCAAAAAATGGATCTATATATGGCTATATAATTTCCTTTTTAGTAGGAAAACCCCTTGGGTAAAAAAAGACCATCTAGAGAACGATTGTCAGACCTAACTGCAAAACTGCTATGATTGACCCAGTCATTTTGGAAGGTCAGACATCTCTTTTATCACTTGTGAGAACAGACAGTAATTCCAATCCATGAGACAATGATTCCATGATTACTCTCAGAGCTCAATGTAAAACCCAAGATTTATTATAAAAAGAATAAAAGTTACCAAAACTCTTACTTTTCCTTTTCCTTCTTCATGTTTATGCCCACTGATGTTCCTGATAGCAAATATGAAGTTTTATTTTTAAGAACAATTAATTTTATATTGAATTTCATATCCAGCAACAGGGAAGGGATGAATATTGAATTTTCATTCAGCAATATGTGCCTTGCTGTCCACCCACTTTGATTTTTTTATCTTGTCTATTTGTAAATCTGTTTTATAAACTGAGATACTAGTTTATTGAGTTGGTAAAAATCCTATTTTTTTATATCTTCCCCCACAGCCATTGACAAAATCATATTCTGATTTTTTTCCCCAGTGTTCCTGAGGAGTACAAAAAGTTGACAACTCTTCGAATTGTCTTTTCTCCATCTTCCCTACCTCTAGTAATGAATCTTGTCTATTGTCCAACCCTCTGGACACTTGTGTGCCTTCTACTTACCTTGCCATTTAAGCTAAGATAAAAATTGCCCCTTGAGGCCCAGGTAAAATAGTAAACGAGATTTAACCACTCCAAAATTGGAAAGCTGCCCATATCCTAAAAAAAGGTGACAGAATTATTTGCAGCACATAAAGACCTTTAAATGGCTTTCCTTCCCTTCCCTAGTACCCACTAACAGTATCCACTAATTTTGCACCAATCTATTGTTCCCAGGGAGCCCAAGTAGAAAGTAAGCAGGGAATTCTTGGTACACAGATAATACAGTATTGAGGGTAAATACAACAATTCATGGGACCCAGCTCAGGTTTAGGTGTCTTAGTTCATTCACTGCTTCCTGGAAGGAAGTACAAGCAACTGGAGGCAAGTAAATTGGGAGAGGGGAGGGTGACAGGTCCAGAGGATGCTGGTAGGCCTGGGGGGTGCGGGGGTAATGACTCCACAAAGAGGGCTGCCCAGTCTGTGGAAGAAGGGGTAAATCTAACCCAATCAGCTTTGCCAGGGGCACAAGCAGCATAGCCCTGGGGCTGTGGAGAGTAGCTGGGCTTTCCCAGCCTCGATACTGCACCATGAATGTCTGCAAGCATGCACTAGGTTTGGTGGAAACTAAATCAGGCATACCATTTTTAGGGTGACCTAAGCCCCGCTAACAGTTATTCAACTAGGCATTTAGATCTCCCTAACCTTGTTCAGGGTGATCTAAATATAATAGTTAGATATAATCTGAACCCTGTAGTAATTTGGTTTAATGGGGAGATACAACATTTAATTGTTAACCAATAGAGTTTCCTATTTTGACTGGTCATTGTGGGGAAAGTCAATAAAACATATTATTTTTGGATAAAAATTCCTACATGAAATCAGTTACATTTTTCCTCTTCAAAAATATTACCATTCTGAGTTTACATACAAGAGCAAAGGCATCTAAAGGAGTGCCCGACTGGGGGAAGGGGGCTCAGCTGTGCCTGGCTCCCTGGCACTGCGCTGGATCATGGGAGGCATGGGGGACCCTGAGGGGTGTGCCAGAGCCCATTGAGAAACCCCCACTCCCTGCATGACGTAGGCATGGCTGAGCTTCACCTTCCACCCACCTCTTTCTTGTCAGCAGTCAGTGACAAACATCTACAGCCTGTACAACTCCCTGCCTGGGTGTTTTTGGTCAGTGACCTACCTTGTTTGATTCACTGATCTAACCTAGATCAGTTTAGTTTGATACCACATCAAACCAGATCTATCTTAGGCTGGGATCCACCATTTTTAAACCAGTCTACGTGCTCTAAACTTCTGTTCTGTTATGGGTACAGACCAAGTTTCTGACCACCTAAACAGGAAAAGGTGTAATGTCTGTACCTGGTCACATTGTGTGCAAGAAATTATCGACTGCTTTGAGTCGCCAGAACTCTGTCATTAGTTGGCTACTGTATTATGCATCTTGTTCTGTTTATATTGGTTGTGGTACAATCCTGAACTACTTTAGTACTGTACTTAGTACTGAATTTAGCACAGAGAAAGCAGTCATATATAATGAACTTACCTGTTCTTGAACCTGACATTTGCTTCCCATGTGGCATTAGGCAACCTGAGCTATTGGTGCCTCAATTCCCATTGTTATCCTGTTTGTGCTTTATTTATTTTACCATAAGGTCTTTGGGGATGCAGTCTCCCTGTAAATGTTTGTGTACATAACTGTCAGCATATGGGGCTGGATTTAGTTGGTGTTTCTAGGTGCTTGCTACCATATAAATAAGAACATTTTGTAGTAGAAATATCACAGAACTTTCAGACATTTTATTAATGCATTTGTTTAGAGAAGGCCAGAATTTTTCAGCAACCTTAGTTCATACGTTATTTTCCTATACTTAAATTTGGCCCTAAATTCATTGATACCTTTGCTCATAATATAGACTTTGATATAAATTGACCCCTGCTTCATATAGATCTAGCAGAAAGATGATGGCAATTATGCACCAAAAATAAACTTTGCTATCAGTCAAAGTATGAAGGTCTCCTGCACCCCTCCTCCCCCCTCCCTGGCCCTCCCAGAACAGCCAGAGACCTCAGAGCTACATCTTTATTATGAGATAGTAGATAATGTAACGGGTTATGCTGTGTGAAGTGTGAACAAATGTTCCCCATAGGTTTTATTTAATTTGATCGAAGGATCAAAGGCCCGTCTATGCTAAGTTAAGTGCCTAGCAGAATGTGCTACTGCTGGAATTAAAAAAGCAATCAACAGTTATTAGATAATATGGACAAGAGAAAGGGCAACAGTTATGATCCAGAGTTTTAGCAGTTTTCCTCCAAGTATCAGTTATATTTGAATGGAAAATGGCCTATCTATTCTGAGAGCTGGCAAGTCTTCTTTTAGCAGAAGAAAGATGTGAGCCCATGGTGTGGTACAGAAGACTGTGACTGTGCTGAGCTTCCCAGACACAGAGTCTAGATATTGAGTAATGAAGGTCTCATTATGTAAATACATTTGACACCCAACATGGGGGCAGAGGGAGGGAATCTCTGTTGCAAGCATCTAGGACATTGAGTGATCATAGAATGCAGCATGATATTGGGATTGAAATGAACTAAGAAAAATCCTCTGTGGAAAAGTGGATGAATTGAAAGACCTACCCCATGTGAAATTCTCTGAGTATGTGGAGAAATTAAAGAAGTTTGAACAGCAGGTCACTTTATATCTGCAAACAATAGGGAAGGAAAAGTCAATAAATAGTCTTATTTCTGAAAATGGCTTGTTCTAAAGTACATGTGGTATTTAACATTTTTTAGCTAGTTCAGAAAAAAGAACCTAACTGAGCCCATTTTAAGAGACCAGATTGAACAAATGGAGAACATATTGCAAAGCTGGACACCAAAGTCTGCTTTTGATGAAAATTATGAAAAAGGCAGAGAAACATTCTTTATATATATTTCTTTCTTTATTTATTAAATATATATACCTGCCTTCCTACCAAAGGCTAAGGACAACTTACAGTAAGATAATAGAACAACTTGAAAGGGCAACTAGAATATCAAAATCAAACCAGAGACCCACAAAACAACATCTTGCCCTAGTTTTGTTTGGTCAATACTTACTCAAATAGAAAGGTATTACAATGTTGCTAGTAATGAGTTGCCAGTTGTACCTGATGTGCAGGATCAGAATCTGATTGCCCTTGAGGGAGGATGTTCAAAAAGTGAAGAGCAATGGCCAAGAACGACCTACCATGGGTTTTCACCAAGTGGAGTTTTGGCTGACCTTAGGGATCAAGAGCAGGTTTAGAGAGAGATAATATATGTATATTAATCTTTATAACAAATATGCTCCTAACCAGCAAAATCTTTCTTGATTTTCAAAATAGAAACAAACATAAATTATCACACCCAACACTCATTTATTGATTGAATATTGACTGAAAAGTTACTAGGCAAACAGCATCACTTACCAGCCTTTCCAGAACTACTTCACAAAACAACCAGCTATATATCATGAAGACAAAAAATGCATAATAAACAGGCAGTCAAATCTGTTCATTATAATGGTAGCTCAGTCTAATGATTATTTATCCTCCTGTAGTTATTACACTGTAATACCAAAGAGTTGCTTTCCTTCTCATCTCTCTCCTCTTTTAGTGTGTCTTCTATATAAAAGCATACACAACTGACTAAGTGTGATGGCTTCTTAAAAAAAACATTTTGCAGAAAAAAGGATAAACAAATTGCATAACATTGCTCTCCAGTACTCCAATATGCTGTTTCTCTTGCTGTGTTTCAGGAGCATGGTATTCCAACTGGTATGGGCTATGCGGTGGCTCCGCACCATTCTGGGGTCTACCCAGTACATGTTCAGCTCTATGAGGCCTGGAAGAAGGTCTGGAGTATCAAGGTCACCAGCACAGAAGAGTATCCCCATCTGAAACCTGCACGACACAGACGGGGCTTCATCCATAATGGCATCATGGTACACTGCATTTCATTATATCTTAGAAATATTTCTTAAAACCACAAAAAAAGATTTCATCCCCAGTCTGACTTATGAAAGGATGTGGAAACCACCAAAGAAAAAAATGAATGGGAGGAGTGATTTTCTTCTCCAGTATGCAAGGTTTTGGTCTACATTTTGTTTTCTAATATTCCCACAGTAGAAGGACCTTTGCAGTTTGCACAGTAGAGGGACTAGAAGCATGGCCAATGATATTGAAGGATATGTAACCAGGTGATAGGAAACAGAGGCATTTACACCATCCCTTCAGCTGTAAAAAGACCAAAATAACCTGTAAGAATTACTTGGCATATCTTAACAGCCAGATGGAACAATATGCTATAGATTAAAGTAAATAACCCAGAAGAATTCAATTGACAAGGAGAATTATGACAGGTAGAAGGTAATTACACAGGTTGGAATTTTCCCAATACACAGAATAGAAATCAGGATTGGCCAACTGTGCCCTGGGCCATTAAAGAAATAACTCCTATTGAATTCAACAAAAGATATGGCCTTGCATTCAAAGACAGAACTTTATCTAATATATTCAGGAAAATAAAATGTAATTGATAACACAGTAATGAGTTACAATGTAGATTTCAATTAATTGCAAGTAGGAACATAATTCTTCAAGCATTTAAACATGCTTAGATGCTTTGTTGAATGTGATCTTTGATTGATTTCTTTTGATTTGACTGAATACAAAGGGATAATCCAAATGGTAAACTAGCTAATAATGTAGTTAATATTGGGAAAGGCTTGTACAAGTACTGAATAATGCTAATAAGTCTTAAGAGTTTTGATGTCTTGTGATTAAATAGTTAACAGAATAACTGAGGTGGGTGCTTTGGTTCTCTGGAGTTTTTTTTCCATCTACCAGTTTTTTGAATCCTGACACACAATCTGATGATTTATGATGGTATGTAGAGCTGACCTCAGGATATACTCACGCAACAGTCCTGCCAGCCCCTGTATATATTTCAGTTGTGGAAGGGAATGTGATTTTCAGGGCAGAGAAAAGAAAGAACTATTTCTTCTGCCTGCAACCTGAAATACAGATTTTGTGCAATATCTCACTAGCAAGAAGATTAATAGCTTGAGATAGTGAAGATGGCCAAGAAGCACTACTTATCTTTTAATAAACTAACCTTGCTAAAGGAGGAGAAGCTTTTTCCTTCCTGTTATGAAACCCTGAAAACAACCGCCTGAATTATTACTATGTGAAATGAATAGAATAGTCTCAATGAAGGATTTAGAACACAGCGATGCAGCCACTTTTTAACAGACAGCTGGAGTTATCAATGAGCAATATCATGCTCATCTATGATGAGAACAAAATAATCCATATGGGAGCAAAATCAGCAAGGTTTCTGCCATCTCCTGCTTTTTGAATGAGATTTACAGAAGTAGGCTCATGTCACTGGCATATTTATTTTGTTCTCAGGTGCTCCCTAGGCAAACCTGTGGCCTTTTCACGCACACAATTTTCTACAAGGAATATCCTGGAGGTCCTCTAGAACTGGACAAAAGTATCCAAGGAGGGGAACTCTTCCTCACCATTCTCCTGAATCCTGTATGTAACCTACTTTACTAATCTAGTACCATACTGAACCATTATAGAGGGGAAAGA